AATAAGTGAGTATACAATGGGTAGATATGCAGGTGAACTAGAAACCTGGCATCTCAGAAGAGACTAAGAAGTGTTGCGTTTCATTGTGGAGGCTATGCGTGATGTCGGTGGCGTGCGCGACAAAAGTAGGATAGATTGGGACCGTCTGATTGTTGGCGGGTGAGCCCTCTGGAAACAAGAACCACGGTATGTCTCCGTATCTTCTTTTTGGAGGGCACTGTATCCCTGCGTCTTTGGAAGGAAAATGATCCCATGAGGATGGGCGTAAACCGGGTGCACGCGAAACACCAGAATTGTCCGAAAGACCTGTGAGAGCGAATATTGGGCCCAGAATGATCGCTAGCATCCCATCCGAGCCCTTTAAAACCAAGCTCACGCTCCCATGTCGTGCCAAAAGCCTTAGTAAGAAGCAGTGGAATAGTTTCGCGTGGAAGCTCAGCGTATCATCCCATTGACACAGGAAGTGCCATAGCGTCGTACGAATGCGTTCAGGGAGGAGAAGATACATGAAAATCAAAGAGGAATTAAAGTGATAGCGAGCTGTTGTGGAAGGAAAATCTTGAAGCGTGCCTACTGCAACGCTTCCAAGATTTCAAGGCGTTCGAGGAGCGAAATAACCAACACTTGGCTCTATATGTAACACGTGACCTGGTAATTTCGACCGAGGGTACGCCATGTTCCTGCTCACCGCATCACACAGCGATCAAGGCAGTTCTTGTTCTTCACTGCCATCGAGATCGTTATCATTGGGAATACACAGACTGGGTGCTCTTCCGAGGCCGTCTAGAGATCACGGTGTTGTAGTCTTTGATTACCGAATAGCCTGGACCCACAGCGTATCCAGGCATGGGTTTTGTTCTGCATAGCCTAGTAACACCTGATGAATGCCAGAACAAAAGCCACAGCGCGTCTAGCACCGTTGCTGTACGCTGGCCGTGCTTCGCCCCCACATGAAGGAGGATCTGCGCTCTCTGTTCTAGATCATCAGCTTATCACTTCTGGAGATGGCATCAACTGGGCAGCATGATTCAGAAGGTAAACCAATGTTATTTGTTCCCTTTTCGCGCTGGTGATTCCGTGGTGTAGAGAAGTTTGCATCTGTGGGCGTGCCAGGAAAGGTATACTTAAATCCCCCTCTCAGGCCCTCTCAGCATACAGCAAAGCCATATTCACCATTTCGTATCTTGAATTGCGACGTTCTGATACCCTTCACTGTTGTATAGTCGGAACTGCACGATTCATTCGTCAGCGCCGCCATCTTCTGCCAACGTCCTGGTATTTATCTCACTCCAAGCATCACAGAAACTCCTTACGCCACAAACCCATGTGCCAGTGTGCAAACGAGCTGCCTCCGCACTATTGGCAGACGTTCCAGGGGAATTTTCAGTGCCCCCCATGGGCCCACCGTTGCGGTACTTTGAACCAGGTCCCAAGGGGTCCTCTGTTCCAAAGATCTCAACATCCGCCACCTCCGCTGCAGGCGTACGGTTCACCGGACACCCGCTACCAACCATCCTACCCGCCACAAACTGCCACCTTAGCCCACCTCAATGACCCGCATGAGCAACACCCAATCCCAGTCTTCGTTCACTCCATGACGCATGCTGCGTCTTCTGCTTCATATAATAAGCTGGGCGAGCCAGAGTATCTGTCACCGGATGCAGCTATTCCGCCACACCACCGCCCTGCACAACCGTTTATTCCTCCGCACTTCCAGCACCATCACCCTGCACCGCGGGAAACCTTTCACAATTGGGAGCCCCGCCTAAACGACCCGTTTGTGGTTGAGCAGTACCCTGCACACCAACCAGGTCCGCCCCATCCAGTTTTCCCCCGCTCCTCAGGACTAGAGCCCACCGACTGGAGACAAGGTTTTGCGCGCTTCGTGGGGGAGCAGCCTCCGATGAGCCAACATAGCTCCCAAACGGCCAACGTGCGCTCTACCGAGGCAGAACCCATACCAACCATTCTCCGAGACGACTTGGAGGGAATGTACACTGACAGCATCCCCACAACGACTCTCCCAAATATCCCGGGAGCCCCTCCCCAACAAATGCCTACCTCTGAGTTCAGTGCAGCGAATTCTGCCCCCAACGTTACCAGGGTTTCACCGACTTCCATGAATGCGCCGCGACCCGTCTATCCCACCGCCGAGACCCTTCACGATGCTGGTTCTCAAAGTCGGCTTCCCGTACCAGACGTTGAAGAGCTCGTGGAGCCAGCAAGAACAGGTACTTCACAGGGGAGTGGACACAGCTTATCGACTGAAACCATCGAAGAGATCTTCACGAGAGGCGCAGCCCCTGTCCCAGAAGGCCAAGAGTTTCCTGGTGACCAATCGCCTCCTCCTCGTCCAACGATGCCACCCTGGGAACTCGTTGACGAACGCAGCACCCTTGGCTTGCAAGATGGGGGTGTTGGGGAGAGCATTGCAGGCAATGACGTCCCCTTTACGACCGCCAAGCGGAGTCCACAGCACGCGCATACGATGGATACTTTGTCGAGCGTGAATAATATAATAACCCAAACAAGCGGGACTAGCACGGTATCGAACATGGTGTTGTTGGAGCTGCCGGACGTTCACCCGTCTGACACACCATCGCGACGGAAGGCACGCGAGGAGATGAGGGAATTTTTGAGGGCTGCGAGTGTTTCTCCTGAGAACATTGGATTGCACACCAGTGACGAAGACGGCGCTGGGGGAGAACACGAAGTGCGCCAAGAAGGTCGCGAACCTAAAGGCAAGGAGCATGTACAAAGTGAACCTATCGCAGAGCAGCCCCCAGCGCCGTCGTTCTCACCACCTGAGTCCCAGCATCCAGACGACACTGAAGACCCCTTCCGCCCCTCCTCCAACAGAATGAATTTCTGCGTGCGCAGGAGACAGTCCACGGGCTCGGCCACCAACAGCGTCTGCATCAACATAATTCCGCCTACGACAGTCGCCTCCTCAGCCAACTCGCTTCATGTGCTTTCCCCAGAGACGTCAGCACCGCTTTACACTCCTTTTTCGCCACCAACAGCGCACGCACTGGACGAAACGCATGAAGAGCCTCCAGAAGACTGTCCTCCCAACATGCCGAAATCCGTTCTCACGCAGTCAACGCCTCTTTCAACTCAGGCAGAAGCGCAGACCTCATCCCGGGCTCGATACCTAACCCGCGAAACTCTCCAACGCTCACCTCGTGCGAGACCCCCACTATTCACGACCAATAACAGCGAAGCCGGTCCCTCCCACTTTGGCACCCCAGCCGAGCAAGTCAAACATGGTCACCTTTTTCATAGCTCGTCCCGCGGTAAATCTTCCGCCATGGAAACTGTCTCACCGAGCGAGGGCACATATGTCGGCAGACCATGGAGCCGTGGCGTCCATTCTGTAGAGGCGACACTCTCGGGTAAGAAAGGCGGTAACACAGCCATCGAGACGCCTCCGCTTGGGACGGCACCGCTTGTGACGTCGCCCGAGCAGACGCCTGATGTTTTCACCGTGAAGCAGAACCTGCGCAAGACTGGAGCGGAGAAAGAGACACAGCCAGCTCAGAGGCCGCTCGTTAATATCGCGCCGCCGGAGAATTTATTCCTGCATGGATCTGAGGAGCATCCGCCTGCTACACCCGAGGAGCACCTGGAGAGAGCCGCAAAGGAGACAAGCAGGAGTAGGCAAGCTGATGAAGCGGATGGGTTCGAGGCAATCCTGCGGTTCAATCTGGGTGTGCTCGCTCGCCAGTGCCTCCTTGAAGCAGAGAGTATGGGCATGGTGAGTACTACGTCCACTGTCTTCCTCCACACATTGTGTCTGAGTGACCTCTTATTAGGCTTTCGCCGAATGCAACACGCTGTCCTCCGAGGCATTGGACTGTGCTAGATCCGCTTATATGTCGTTGTCGATGGCGTTGACTGATGCGCTTGATCCCCTGAATCGTGAAGTCGACATGGACATAGACTTGAGTGATGACCACCAGCTTTCCTGGCGTGATCAGTACGAGGGGGCGGTTGGCGCCATGCAGCGGTAAGTAAACATCTTCCGATTTACAACAGCATGACCTAGCTAACTTCTTTATAACCAGAGCGATGAACAGGGTCTCGGGTCTTCTAAACGAATTTCCTCGTGGGGATCGAGTCCGACGACACCTCGCGAGCGTATCTGCAGTCGCGAAACGTCTCACCTACATAACGCGCAAGCTAGAGGTCAGTGATCCACTTCTCACCTTGACCTCCTATCTCACACTTCCTTGCGTCATTTAGGACACCATGGACCGCATTATCTATCTTCGCCTGTCCTCTCAGCTCAAAGCCAACAATGCTGCCATTCGCAAAGCTAAGATAACCGAAGAAGCACGGCGCGAGACGTATAAAGCGTTTTCAGACAGGCGAAAGATAGAGACGGAAGGTATTCGTCAGCGGATGGAACAGCTCAAAGCACAGCGACGTGCTCCGCTGTCGGATGCGGGCTCTGAAGAAAGCGGATTGGAGAGTACTGAGGATTGAATGTGAATGGACGGCGACGGCGACGATGCAGATTTTCACGAATTTTCCCTTTATGATTCCCGGACATTTTGCACGAGATCGGAATGACCTGTGATACTGGACGATATTGATACCATACCAGGGTGAGTGCATGGACATGGGTGGGCTGGACTACGCAATATTATTTAGAATAAACAACCATATTTACGATACAATGTAGTCGACCAACCTACACCGCATATTCATGTACGAGCGAAGCACAATGATTATTTTTTCACTGAGCAAAATGGTCGAGGATTTCACAGCTGTCTGACAGTCAAATCACGGTTCGGGGATTTTCAGCGGCAACGGCGCATTCACCTTCCTGAGCAGTGGTACTTGTTCAAAGCTACGCATACGTCGAGGTGGTCAAACTGTAGGCGAAACATCCATCGAGTTGAGAGTTCAAAGATATGTCAGGACTCGAAATTTGCCTTCGTGGTCGCTGTGGGTGAGAGCTAACTATGTAAGGTATTTTCACCAGTAGAAACAACGGTCGTATAGTGTAGTGGTTATCACTCGGGATTTTGACTGATTCAAAACTTCCCGAAACCCAGGTTCGAACCCTGGTACGACCTTGTTTCCACTTTTTGCACAAGTGATGATATAACTGATTAGTACTTACATCTGGGACTCTGGGGGCACTGGTCTGAAGAAAATTCACTTATGCTGCAGTTTGCAGGGGATGCAGGGCTACATGAACTGTCCAGTAACCTCTTGCCACAGAGGGCCTGAGTAGCTTCATGCTGACCCACTAAAAAAACCTCAACAGTGTTTGGCCAATCCTATTGGATATTGGGGGGTGGTAAGATCAGTGTCTGCCAGGTGTGTCTTGTCAAAGAAATCACAAGCATAACATGTGGTATTATGATGCTTCCATGATTACTCATGGATTGCTCATAAACATTTTATGACATTCTCTAATGTTATATCTTAATAGCAAGTATAGTACAGACTATACCATAATAGGGTTGTTATTCACACCTTATCTTCTTATCTACATGGTCTGTGCACACATCATCCATGTATAAATACTGGACCTTAAGTCCTCTTACTATAGAGTCTCAGATCTTGAAGAACACATTCACTAGTTTCCTATCAAAAGCTAGCTCAGCTCTCAATAAAGCTCTTGCACAGTATCCAGAAACAGTAAGGTGAGGCTCTCTCACCACTGCTGTGCTGTAGTGGAACTTGGCCAGAATACCTGCCAGTTTCATTAGGTTATGAGCCCTGCCTGGGTCTTATAATTATCATCTTTGATGTCTTTACCATTCCTGGCACTCAACCTTTCTGGTTTTACTCTCAAGTCATGTTAGTGCTTAATCACATTCTAAATTGGAATTGTGTTCTATTTGTTTCCCCTCCACAAGTAACTGGGTTACTTGTTATTTGGGTGTCTACCTCTTTCATCACATACTGTATATACCTTGTGAATGTTAAGTAATGTGAATGGATATGAAGAACTCTAACATGTACCTTTGCATGTATTGTAGTTGTTGCAACATTGTATGGCTGTGTTGTATGTGTGGAAGACATTGAGTGAGCAATGGATGTCTAATGGACAACATTGGAGTAGCATGTAATGTGCAATACTACATGCCTTGTGCAATTCGACTTCACTGATTTCACACAACACCTGATTTTATCACATCTTAGAAAATCACTGCATGTAGACCTCTCTGGTCACAACCACTTCTCACTGGGTGTAAGCTGTGGCTATTTGTCAACCTCAGCTGTCCATATACTATGGTACCAGAGCTCTACATGGGCTTGTTGGCACACGTAGATGCTATGGCAACATTATACCTATGGAATTCCATCACATACATTACTTACATACAAAATGTACTGTATCTTCCCTCTTCCCTCAGTCCATTATCTCAGAACTGAGGGTAAGTCACTAATTACTTGTATACTAAGAATACTTCATACTTATGATGTATCTAGATTAACAGATAACATTGTGTCTAGTTCTAACAGGTTATGAGCCCTGGGTTTCTCAAATAAGAAACATGGAACCTCTTTCATTTGGAGAATCAGAATGATGTGCTTCCCACTGATCCAGAGTGCACTCAGCTTACCATTTATGATAGTGCTTCTATGTTAGAGTTACACATGCATGTTCAGCACTCATATGGTACATATAAACCATGAGCACCACATTGTGCTACACTTTCCATCTCTCCCTCCCTATTCCATCATGATGCCCCACCTCCACTCCATATCACACCCACCAGCTCAGAATCCTGCTGTTGACATGGAAGCTACCACTACAAATCCACCTGCAGCCACCACTGGCATTGTGAGAGTTCCTGCAGCTGCTCCACCACCCCACAGATCTGGTTCCATCCATCCTACCTACCTAGCTAGCCTAGCATGAAGGCAATCCATCTTAGACCAAATTAGCAACCACCCTATCTTTCAAAACCAATCAAACAACAAACAATTACCAATTGCAATCCAACTGGGTATCTTCCTAAACTGTGCAGGACACTATGGAAATGCAAATTCCCCCAAGGACATTGCCCAATGGGCAGGTGTCAGCATTGGCATGGTAATCAACTGCACACACCATGCAATGGTGGCGATTCTTGACCAGCATGATGAATTTCTGTACATTCCATCAGCTCGTTCTAAGGGAATGTGGCAAGCACGGGAGTTTACCAAGTCACAAACATGCCCATCATGGAAAAAAAAGGGGTATTTACAGCAGATGGATCAGGGATCAATTTATTTTCCAAGCCTGGCCTCTATGGGGAGACATCTTATGATTGAAAGTCCAACTGCTCCTTGAATTGTCAGGTAGGTCAATGTTTTGTTGCCACACTAAAATAAACTTACTGCTCATTGAAAGCTTGTAATTATGCCTTAGGACAACCAGGGAGTGTCCATGATGCATACACATTCCAGAGCACATGCATTGCCAGACATCACAAGACCCTGATTCCACTAGGGCACTGGACATGGGCTGACACAGCCTATCCCACTGAGAAGTGTTGTGTTGTACCATTCAAGAAGCCAAGAGGTGGAGGCCTAAACCACAAGCAGAACATGTACATATAACTGGTATGTACCTCCAATGACACAGCTCCACTATGCTAGTACCCAAAACCTATCCTAGGTCTGAGTTTATGTTGAGCATGCTTTTGCAGCTCTCAAACATCATTTTCAATCTCTTTGCAAGCTTTGTTTACAGATGCAACTGAAGCAGACTTGTATGTCACCATGTACTGGGTGGAATGCTGTTTGATCTTGCATAATATGATTATTTGGTTTTGTCAAGTACAAGGTTCAATCCTGGAATTCCTGAAAAGTTCTGAGGACGGGGAAAGGCATAAGGGGCTTGGAATCCATGAGGGGGTTGAAGGGGTAAGGGACTTTGGCTTCAGCTTATGTGCTGCATCCCTATACAAGTCCTGTCCCTTGATTTCGAGACAGATGTTCAGAAAACAATCCTAAGTTCAACTTAAGGACTGAGAGGGGTTTCAGAGTGAAGTGAAGACTTCAGAGGATAGAACAGGATTTAGTCGATATTTGAACTAAGGAAAATAAATATCACAGAGTACAGGCGGGTTTATATACTGGAGAGTCTGGAAGATATAAAACTATTAAAGTATATCAGACAAGTCGGGGTTTCAGGTTTCCGGAGTATAGTAAGGGGGTGAATTGGAATGGCATTAGAATGATGGAATGATAACTAAGGACGATGGCACAACAATTGTGAAGCAGGGGAAAGGAAATTATCAATAGAAACTATAAGTGTCAAGGGATGTTAAAGGAAAGGAACATATGTCAAGAGATAGCTGAGATAGGAGTACGAAAGTCCGGGACAGGAATATGAAAGTCCAGGATGGAAAATACGGGATTCGGGATATTGGGATATGAGGTAAAGGTGAAACCTTCTAAGGGAAAGTCTAGGGTTTGGGATTTGATCATAAGGGGTCAGAAGTGTGTCATATGGGTAGGGAAAGTTTCAGGATGTGACAGGTTTGAAGAACAGTGCAGAGGGGAAATGCAGGGGACGATGGAATGGGCTATGGACAAAGGACAGGGAGGACATATTGTGGAAGATGATTTAGTTTGTGCAAATCAAGAGATGGGGACAGAGGGACAATGCTTTTGTGCACACTTGATGCAAAGGTTATTCAAGGAGCATGGCCTCCAATTCTAAGGTGAGAAAAAAGTAGACAAACCACTCTGTTGTATTCAAAATACAGTAATACAGACAACATGCATGAACACAGTGACACAATCAAGAGATCAGTGGAGGGCTTTCCCATACATACAAAGAGGGGCATAGATGTGTCACCTGGTTAGCCTGAGATAGCAGAGGAAGTAGAGAAAGCACCATTATTGTCCCACTGTATTTCAGCAAGGCAAATTTTGAGAGTGAGCACTTCCCTCTCCTTGTCAAGGACATCTGCATCAGCTCTCCAGAGCTCAATCTCTGTCTTCTTCACCTCCAGCTGGCACCAGTGGATATCTTCTGCCTCCACATGCTCACTAACCTGCTGGGCCTCAAGAAATGAGATCTCCTTGTCCCACATAAACAATTGCATCTTGACATTGTAGTGCTCAGTCTTGAGTACAGCAGATGAAAACTTTTGTTCACAAGCATCCATATCCAAGTTGTCAAGGCATTTCTTTAAGTTCATCTTTATCTGCTCAATGGTATTCTTTCCCTTTGTAGAATCTGTTTGGGATGTCCTGGATGCTGGTGCAGACTGTGCAGAGGGACATTGCTGGTGACTGGTGGTGACACTACTAAGGGGGGGCATGGAGGATAAAGCAGGGGTTGTATCAGAGACAGATCGGCTGATGGGATAAGGAGATGTTCTGAATGTGTGACGTGAGTCCCAAGATGGTGTCCAAGGCTTCACAGGTAGCTGAGGTGGTTGAATAGAACTGAAAGGACTCAGAGTTAGCTTGACACCAGAAAACTACAGCATATGTTAGCCAAGTCAAAATGATAAAAAAAGTCTTACAAATTGGTCATGATGTTGACTGTCAAAAGGTCTATGTTATGCTGATAAGGTCATGAGAGCTTGATCAGATAACATCAATGAGCCCTATTGTCGAGTAGGGCAAGATCTATCAGAAGTCTTTACTGGCAGACTATAGGCCAATCGGTGAAGCGAGTTCTCAAACCAAGAGATAGCTTGTTAAGCTATGTATTGCGTAGATCTAACTTGGGTTGTAACCAAGTAGAGTACAGGTCTTTATACTATAGGGAATGGCACACAGACGAAGGTATTCAAAGTAGGTATTGTCCAATAAAGGTAACTAAAGATAAGAGGGATAAGTGCCATTGGGCGGAAGGTCATAGAACATGAAAGAAGAAAGAAAAGGCCAGGGACTTTGCCTGGAGTCACTGGTTGTACAAAGGGTCAAAAGAGGAAAGAGGTCATGTGATGGAATAGAGTCATGTGAGAAGGAAAAGAAAAAGGGGCTAAAATGGTTCTACCATAACAGTCTATGGGTTATTCCTCCATTGTAGATGTCATCATCTGGGTCAACACACATGTCCTCTTCCCCTGCACATTTTCATACTCTGGCCCATCATCTAGTCTGTCATCAC